TTTTTTAAGCATTTGATATCGTCCCTAAATATACACATTACCTACAAACCAAGTATTCAGTGTTGTGTTATTTTTTTAACAGTCTGAAAATTTCTTTTCCCAGTGGATATTGTGCCATATAAGCGGTTATCCATGAAGAATCTTTTTTTTCCTGCAAAATCTGGTATTTAGAGCGCCGGCAGAGTGAATAGGACGAGCAAAAATAATACATATATAAACTGTGAATGATGTCATCACCAGAATGTTTTTGTGGGTGTGCACAATTTTCTAATATTGTTAAAAGATTGGACACTCTAAAATGCACCTAAAAACTGATTTAAATAATAATATAGAGTGAAATATTTAAGACAATCGAAGATTTGTAGAATTGCATTAGCGTTTTGTAATTCGTAGGTAACACGGTGGAACACCGACTTTGATAGTTATCGCAAAAGTTGTACAGTAACTGGGTCTCAACATAAGTAATGTCAGTCCTACATATTTAGTTTTTGTTGACGTATTATACAAAGACCAATATATTGTCATTATTTTGATATTTAATTTTATTTTGTCATTTTCCATACACCAGTCAATGAATTAATCGAATAATTCTCAGAATATCAATATTACCCTTTTCTCCTAACGCTGTACGTACGTAGAATATTTTTGTACATGACAAACCGCATCTCGGATCAAGACGAATTTTCAGGATATTGTAGTCAAAATGCTAAAGAAACTTTCTGAAAAGTTTGATTGTGATTGGTCCATGTACCTAGGAATTATAGATTTTATCGGCAAGAACTTCAAATTCGTCAGAGGTCAAAATTTCTCCATGAAGAAGAGAGAAACAAAATAAACTTTTTTATCTGGATTTTCTTCACATTTAATGATGGCATTTGATTCCCCCGATATTATTTGATATTTTATTGTCATGTATTCATTTCTCATAATGTATGTGGAATTGATTTTAATTTTATTTCAAATAGTTTATCATGAAAAAATCATCGATTTTCCTTCGATATCTAGTATAATAGCTGTAAAGAAAAAAAAAAAAAAAGCAAACTATGAAATAAAACGAATATCGCTTTCAAAATGATCGAACTCGCAAGTCGCGACCCCCCCCCCCTTTTTTTTTTCTTTTCCTACTTTTTTTTCTTGCTGCAAGAAAGCGAAAGCAGGCTTTAAGGAGGCAGACATTGTTTGTGACACAAAGTTGTATAGAGAGGAAAATAGTTTAAGAAGACGGGATTGGTGTATAATAAATATGTTGATATTTTGATAACCGCTTGGTTGAGGCGTTGAACACTTTGAATGAGTTGAAATAAATAAAATAAATATATTGAATGCGATTAGAACATACATAAAATGTAGAGCGAGCTTCTTTGGCACATTGCAAAGCCAGGAGTGGATCATAAGTGGTATATCTGGAAGGAAGTTCAAAGAAAAGGGGAGAGGGGGCGGGTTCAGATCTGCCTTATAAATATGGAAATTATTTTGCTATAGTATATGTTTCAAAGGGACCAAGTTCCTATTATGCTATAGATATAGGTAAGTTAGCGGTATTGCAGTGTACATACGTGTAGCATCATTCATGCAAACATTGGAGGACATATCGCACGGTATCTGCAGTCATTTCAAGGTTCGGCATGGAACGTTATGATCTCAAAGAGACACAAAACGTCACAATATGGATGACGTCATAAAAGTGAGATGTCATACTTTCTCAGTTGTCAAGGAACACTGTAGTGAAGGAAAAGGCAGCAAACATTTGGTAAGAATTTCCATAGCTTTTATTCTAAGAAATTTGTCCTTAATCCGTAAAATGAAGTAGAGAACCTGTTTCGTATCTTCCAAATGATAGAAATCGACATGTTCCGCATATTCCATTTATTAATTTTGACTTGACAATAAATAATTAAAAGGATTAAGAAAAGTGGAAGGGCGGTTGAAATGAAATTGCAAAATAAACATTTTTCTCTATTTTTTTTTGCAATGTGAGATTTTTTTTTTCCTTCTTATTTTAGAAAACATGGAGGATAAGTTACAAATACTGAAGTTCGACAAGCCGTGGTATGTTATGGTGGAAGACCATGAAATGTGTCAGGTAATTTCAAATTAAATACTACATGCACGTGTCTCATGCATTCTAACACAAGAACAGTGTTTACAAACTTGGAGACTTTTTTGTCGTTTAATGACGAGTGAGTGAAATAGATCACAAATGCCCAGTTCAACGGTCAGTCATATTAGATTAAATCAAATATAAGCGCTCGAATAACTTAGTAGACCTTTCTTAATTTTCACTTGATGGGTTGTAGTTAATATTAAGCTGTCCTAAGTTTTCACAAGTATCGTGCAGAATATTCGAAAAGTATAGAGTGGTCTTTTGACCATCACCTAACTGTTTGACGCGATGCTGCATGTCCGAAATAAATTGACAGTTTTCACTGTATGTTTACAGCTGTGTGTTTAAGAACAAAGCTTTTTTGTGAAGCAGATAGGTTCTACAGAGTACCAGTTTAGAATTGTAAATTCAATCAATTGATTAACATTAATTGTCGCATTTTCTTCATTCTAGAGCATTTTTGACGATCTTCTTGAAAAAGTGGATAGAGAGATTGCTATCAAAAACAAACTGGACGCTCTAATGGCAAGAGCGCAGGTATTCATATGTTACATGCCTTTGTATATTTATAAATTGCATTTTGATTGGAAATATGTCGATTTGGCAATTTTGTCTTTTCGATTCTGAACTTAAAAAAATTTTATGTGTTTTTAAAAAAATATTTACATTAATTTTAGGAAAGGCAAAGGAGGTATGAAATTCTCAAGTTTGATAGACCGTGGTGCGAAATGGTGGAGGAACCAGAAATATGCGAGGTAAGCACGGAAAATGAACGTTTTCATCAATGTGCATTTTTTAAGTTTTAATGCTCTACCAGAAATCTTTAAGCATGCGCTCAGTTGTATAAATACACCCCTTATATAGAATGTCAAACACTTTTAAATCGAAATAAATGTATCCAATAAGTACATCAGTGTCGGACAACAATCAATTTACTTGACTTTATTCTAGGATATACTCGATGACTTGACCACGGGAGTGGAGACAGAGGATGACACACGACATTTTAAACACGTGATGGCTACCGTTCTTGATGAGTTAAAGGTAGGTTGTCATCTGAAAATTTGCTTTAAAAACATTGTTATCTTTTTTTTAATGGAAGCTACAAAAATCTGCAGAACTGAGAATAATGTAGTTTGTGTTCAACTAAGTGACACAAAGGCAACGAAATGCAAAGATTTCATTTTAAATAAGTTATCTTTTTTTCCTCAAAAAATTAATTCCTTCTTTTTAGTCGAAAATACCCGTTCTTCAAGAACAAGAGACGACCTCGTTAAAGAAAGATGCTTCAATGAAAGACACAAACGCTGATATAAAGAAGACAGATAATACTTCTAGTGTCGTAAGTCTCTCACAATTTTACCCCCCCCCCCCCCCCCCCCCCGCCAATAATGTAAAGCAAATATTTAGAGATTTTATTTCTTAAACTATAACATTCGAATTAATCTGACTAATTGATTTTATTTATTTCTTTATTTTATTTTCTAACTTTTTTTCCCTATTTACTTGCAGGTCACTCGTAGAACATTTTTCCAGAACATGAAGAAAAGGCTCCGCAAGATGTTCTTCAGTTGTTGTATGAAGCAAGGAGAAGACTGTGATACTTGTTAAATATCTGTTCCTGTCTTTCGAATTTGAACGTTTTGTAATTTTTTTAAGCATTTGATATCGTCCCTAAATATACACATTACCTACAAACCAAGTATTCAGTGTTGTGTTATTTTTTTAACAGTCTGAAAATTTCTTTTCCCAGTGGATATTGTGCCATATAAGCGGTTATCCATGAAGAATCTTTTTTTCCTGCAAAATCTGGTATTTAGAGCGCCGGCAGAGTGAATAGGACGAGCAAAAATAATACATATATAAACTGTGAATGATGTCATCACCAGAATGTTTTTGTGGGTGTGCACAATTTTCTAATATTGTTAAAAGATTGGACACTCTAAAATGCACCTAAAAACTGATTTAAATAATAATATAGAGTGAAATATTTAAGACAATCGAAGATTTGTAGAATTGCATTAGCGTTTTGTAATTCGTAGGTAACACGGTGGAACACCGACTTTGATAGTTATCGCAAAAGTTGTACAGTAACTGGGTCTCAACATAAATAATGTCAGTCCTACATATTTAGTTTTTGTTGACGTATACAAAGACCAATATATTGTCATTATTTTGATATTTAATTTTATTTTGTCATTTTCCATACACCAGTCAATGAATTAATCGAATAATTCTCAGAATATCAATATTACCCTTTTCTCCTAACGCTGTACGTACGTAGAATATTTTTGTACATGACAAACCGCATCTCGGATCAAGACGAATTTTCAGGATATTGTAGTCAAAATGCTAGGGAAACTTTCTGAAAAGTTTGATTGTGATTGGTCCATGTACCTAGGAATTATAGATTTTATCGGCAAGAACTTCAAATTCGTCAGAGGTCAAAATTTCTCCATGAAGAAGAGAGAAACAAAATAAACTTTTTTATCTGGATTTTCTTCACATTTAATGATGGCATTTGATTCCCCCGATATTATTTGATATTTTATTGTCATGTATTCATTTCTCATAATGTATGTGGAATTGATTTTAATTTTATTTCAAATAGTTTATCATGAAAAAATCATCGATTTTCCTTCGATATCTAGTATAATAGCTGTAAAGAAAAAAAAAAAAAAAGCAAACTATGAAATAAAACGAATATCGCTTTCAAAATGATCGAACTCGCAAGTCGCGACCCCCCCCCCCCCTTTTTTTTTCTTTTCCTACTTTTTTTTCTTGCTGCAAGAAAGCGAAAGCAGGCTTTAAGGAGGCAGACATTGTTTGTGACACAAAGTTGTATAGAGAGGAAAATAGTTTAAGAAGACGGGATTGGTGTATAATAAATATGTTGATATTTTGATAACCGCTTGGTTGAGGCGTTGAACACTTTGAATGAGTTGAAATAAATAAAATAAATATATTGAATGCGATTAGAACATACATAAAATGTAGAGCGAGCTTCTTTGGCACATTGCAAAGCCAGGAGTGGATCATAAGTGGTATATCTGGAAGGAAGTTCAAAGAAAAGGGGAGAGGGGGCGGGTTCAGATCTGCCTTATAAATATGGAAATTATTTTGCTATAGTATATGTTTCAAAGGGACCAAGTTCCTATTATGCTATAGATATAGGTAAGTTAGCGGTATTGCAGTGTACATACGTGTAGCATCATTCATGCAAACATTGGAGGACATATCGCACGGTATCTGCAGTCATTTCAAGGTTCGGCATGGAACGTTATGATCTCAAAGAGACACAAAACGTCACAATATGGATGACGTCATAAAAGTGAGATGTCATACTTTCTCAGTTGTCAAGGAACACTGTAGTGAAGGAAAAGGCAGCAAACATTTGGTAAGAATTTCCATAGCTTTTATTCTAAGAAATTTGTCCTTAATCCGTAAAATGAAGTAGAGAACCTGTTTCGTATCTTCCAAATGATAGAAATCGACATGTTCCGCATATTCCATTTATTAATTTTGACTTGACAATAAATAATTAAAAGGATTAAGAAAAGTGGAAGGGCGGTTGAAATGAAATTGCAAAATAAACTTTTTTTTTCTTTTTTTTTTGCAATGTGAGATTTTATTTTTTTTTCTTATTTTAGAAAACATGGAGGATAAGTTACAAATACTGAAGTTCGACAAGCCGTGGTATGTTATGGTGGAAGACCATGAAATGTGTCAGGTAATTTCAAATTAAATACTACATGCACGTGTCTCATGCATTCTAACACAAGAACAGTGTTTACAAACTTGGAGACTTTTTTGTCGTTTAATGACGAGTGAGTGAAATAGATCACAAATGCCCAATTCAACGGTCAGTTATATTAGATTAAATCAAATATAAGCGCTCGAATAACTTAGTAGACCTTTTTAATTTTCACTTGATGGGTTGTAGTTAATATTAAGCTGTCCTAAGTTTTCACAAGTATCGTGCAGAATATTCGAAAAGTATAGAGTGGTCTTTTGACCATCACCTAACTGTTTGACGCGATGCTGCATGTCCGAAATAAATTGACAGTTTTCACTGTATGTTTACAGCTGTGTGTTTAAGAACAAAGCTTTTTTGTGAAGCAGATAGGTTCTACAGAGTACCAGTTTAGAATTGTAAATTCAATCAATTGATTAACATTAATTGTCGCATTTTCTTCATTCTAGAGCATTTTTGACGATCTTCTTGAAAAAGTGGATAGAGAGATTGCTATCAAAAACAAACTGGACGCTCTAATGGCAAGAGCGCAGGTATTCATATGTTACATGCCTTTGTATATTTATAAATTGCATTTTGATTGGAAATATGTCGATTTGGCAATTTTGTCTTTTCGATTCTGAACTGAAAAAAAAATTTTTATGTGTTTTAAAAAATATTTACATTAATTTTAGGAAAGGCAAAGGAGGTATGAAATTCTCAAGTTTGATAGACCGTGGTGCGAAATGGTGGAGGAACCAGAAATATGCGAGGTAAGCACGGAAAATGAACGTTTTCATCAATGTGCATTTTTTAAGTTTTAATGCTCTACCAGAAATCTTTAAGCATGCGCTCAGTTGTATAAATACACCCCTTATATAGAATGTCAAACACTTTTAAATCGAAATAAATGTATCCAATAAGTACATCAGTGTCGGACAACAATCAATTTACTTGACTTTATTCTAGGATATACTCGATGACTTGACCACGGGAGTGGAGACAGAGGATGACACACGACATTTTAAACACGTGATGGCTACCGTTCTTGATGAGTTAAAGGTAGGTTGTCATCTGAAAATTTGCTTTAAAAACATTTATCTTTTTTTTAATGGAAGCTACAAATCTGCAGAACTGAGAATAATGTAGATTGTGTTCAACTAAGTGACACAAAGGCAACGAAATGCAAAGATTTCATTTTAAATAAGTTATCTTTTTTTCCTCAAAAAATTAATTCCTTCTTTTTAGTCGAAAATACCCGTTCTTCAAGAACAAGAGACGACCTCGTTAAAGAAAGATGCTTCAATGAAAGACACAAACGCTGATATAAAGAAGACAGATAATACTTCTAGTGTCGTAAGTCTCTCACAATTTTACCCCCCCCCCCCCCCCCCCCGCCAATAATGTAAAGCAAATATTTAGAGATTTTATTTCTTAAACTATAACATTCGAATTAATCTGACTAATTGATTTTATTTATTTCTTTATTTTATTTTCTAACTTTTTTTCCCTATTTACTTGCAGGTCACTCGTAGAACATTTTTCCAGAACATGAAGAAAAGGCTCCGCAAGATGTTCTTCAGTTGTTGTATGAAGCAAGGAGAAGACTGTGATACTTGTTAAATATCTGTTTCTGTCTTTCGAATTTGAACGTTTTGTAATTTTTTTAAGCATTTGATATCGTCCCTAAATATACACATTACCTACAAACCAAGTATTCAGTGTTGTGTTATTTTTTTAACAGTCTGAAAATTTCTTTTCCCAGTGGATATTGTGCCATATAAGCGGTTATCCATGAAGAATCTTTTTTTCCTGCAAAATCTGGTATTTAGAGCGCCGGCAGAGTGAATAGGACGAGCAAAAATAATACATATATAAACTGTGAATGATGTCATCACCAGAATGTTTTTGTGGGTGTGCACAATTTTCTAATATTGTTAAAAGATTGGACACTCTAAAATGCACCTAAAAACTGATTTAAATAATAATATAGAGTGAAATATTTAAGACAATCGAAGATTTGTAGAATTGCATTAGCGTTTTGTAATTCGTAGGTAACACGGTGGAACACCGACTTTGATAGTTATCGCAAAAGTTGTACAGTAACTGGGTCTCAACATAAATAATGTCAGTCCTACATATTTAGTTTTTGTTGACGTATACAAAGACCAATATATTGTCATTATTTTGATATTTAATTTTATTTTGTCATTTTCCATACACCAGTCAATGAATTAATCGAATAATTCTCAGAATATCAATATTACCCTTTTCTCCTAACGCTGTACGTACGTAGAATATTTTTGTACATGACAAACCGCATCTCGGATCAAGACGAATTTTCAGGATATTGTAGTCAAAATGCTAAAGAAACTTTCTGAAAAGTTTGATTGTGATTGGTCCATGTACCTAGGAATTATAGATTTTATCGGCAAGAACTTCAAATTCGTCAGAGGTCAAAATTTCTCCATGAAGAAGAGAGAAACAAAATAAACTTTTTTATCTGGATTTTCTTCACATTTAATGATGGCATTTGATTCCCCCGATATTATTTGATATTTTATTGTCATGTATTCATTTCTCATAATGTATGTGGAATTGATTTTAATTTTATTTCAAATAGTTTATCATGAAAAAATCATCGATTTTCCTTCGATATCTAGTATAATAGCTGTAAAGAAAAAAAAAAAAAAAAAAAGCAAACTATGAAATAAAACGAATATCGCTTTCAAAATGATCGAACTCGCAAGTCGCACCCCCCCCCCCCTTTTTTTTTTCTTTTCCTACTTTTTTTTCTTGCTGCAAGAAAGCGAAAGCAGGCTTTAAGGAGGCAGACATTGTTTGTGACACAAAGTTGTATAGAGAGGAAAATAGTTTAAGAAGACGGGATTGGTGTATAATAAATATGTTGATATTTTGATAACCGCTTGGTTGAGGCGTTGAACACTTTGAATGAGTTGAAATAAATAAAATAAATATATTGAATGCGATTAGAACATACATAAAATGTAGAGCGAGCTTCTTTGGCACATTGCAAAGCCAGGAGTGGATCATAAGTGGTATATCTGGAAGGAAGTACAAAGAAAAGGGGAGAGGGGGCGGGTTCAGATCTGCCTTATAAATATGGAAATTATTTTGCTATAGTATATGTTTCAAAGGGACCAAGTTCCTATTATGCTATAGATATAGGTAAGTTAGCGGTATTGCAGTGTACATACGTGTAGCATCATTCATGCAAACATTGGAGGACATATCGCACGGTATCTGCAGTCATTTCAAGGTTCGGCATGGAACGTTATGATCTCAAAGAGACACAAAACGTCACAATATGGATGACGTCATAAAAGTGAGATGTCATACTTTCTCAGTTGTCAAGGAACACTGTAGTGAAGGAAAAGGCAGCAAACATTTGGTAAGAATTTCCATAGCTTTTATTCTAAGAAATTTGTCCTTAATCCGTAAAATGAAGTAGAGAACCTGTTTCGTATCTTCCAAATGATAGAAATCGACATGTTCCGCATATTCCATTTATTAATTTTGACTTGACAATAAATAATTAAAAGGATTAAGAAAAGTGGAAGGGCGGTTGAAATGAAATTGCAAAATAAACATTTTTTTCTTTTTTTTTTGCAATGTGAGCTTTTATTTTTTTTTTTTCTTATTTTAGAAAACATGGAGGATAAGTTACAAATACTGAAGTTCGACAAGCCGTGGTATGTTATGGTGGAAGACCATGAAATGTGTCAGGTAATTTCAAATTAAATACTACATGCACGTGTCTCATGCATTCTAACACAAGAACAGTGTTTACAAACTTGGAGACTTTTTTGTCGTTTAATGACGAGTGAGTGAAATAGATCACAAATGCCCAGTTCAACGGTCAGTCATATTAGATTAAATCAAATATAAGCGCTCGAATAACTTAGTAGACCTTTCTTAATTTTCACTTGATGGGTTGTAGTTAATATTAAGCTGTCCTAAGTTTTCACAAGTATCGTGCAGAATATTCGAAAAGTATAGAGTGGTCTTTTGACCATCACCTAACTGTTTGACGCGATGCTGCATGTCCGAAATAAATTGACAGTTTTCACTGTATGTTTACAGCTGTGTGTTTAAGAACAAAGCTTTTTTGTGAAGCAGATAGGTTCTACAGAGTACCAGTTTAGAATTGTAAATTCAATCAATTGATTAACATTAATTGTCGCATTTTCTTCATTCTAGAGCATTTTTGACGATCTTCTTGAAAAAGTGGATAGAGAGATTGCTATCAAAAACAAACTGGACGCTCTAATGGCAAGAGCGCAGGTATTCATATGTTACATGCCTTTGTATATTTATAAATTGCATTTTGATTGGAAATATGTCGATTTGGCAATTTTGTCTTTTCGATTCTGAACTGAAAAAAAAACTTTTATGTGTTTTAAAAAATATTTACATTAATTTTAGGAAAGGCAAAGGAGGTATGAAATTCTCAAGTTTGATAGACCGTGGTGCGAAATGGTGGAGGAACCAGAAATATGCGAGGTAAGCACGGAAAATGAACGTTTTCATCAATGTGCATTTTTTAAGTTTTAATGCTCTACCAGAAATCTTTAAGCATGCGCTCAGTTGTATAAATACACCCCTTATATAGAATGTCAAACACTTTTAAATCGAAATAAATGTATCCAATAAGTACATCAGTGTCGGACAACAATCAATTTACTTGACTTTATTCTAGGATATACTCGATGACTTGACCACGGGAGTGGAGACAGAGGATGACACACGACATTTTAAACACGTGATGGCTACCGTTCTTGATGAGTTAAAGGTAGGTTGTCATCTGAAAATTTGCTTTAAAAACATTGTTATCTTTTTTTTAATGGAAGCTACAAAAATCTGCAGAATTGAGAATAATGTAGTTTGTGTTCAACTAAGTGACACAAAGGCAACGAAATGCAAAGATTTCATTTTAAATAAGTTATCTTTTTTTCCTCAAAAAATTAATTCCTTCTTTTTAGTCGAAAATACCCGTTCTTCAAGAACAAGAGACGACCTCGTTAAAGAAAGATGCTTCAATGAAAGACACAAACGCTGATATAAAGAAGACAGATAATACTTCTAGTGTCGTAAGTCTCTCACAATTTTACCCCCCCCCCCCCCCCCCGCCAATAATGTAAAGCAAATATTTAGAGATTTTATTTCTTAAACTATAACATTCGAATTAATCTGACTAATTGATTTTATTTATTTCTTTATTTTATTTTCTAACTTTTTTTCCCTATTTTCTTGCAGGTCACTCGTAGAACATTTTTCCAGAACATGAAGAAAAGGCTCCGCAAGATGTTCTTCAGTTGTTGTATGAAGCAAGGAGAAGACTGTGATACTTGTTAAATATCTGTTCCTGTCTTTCGAATTTGAACGTTTTGTAATTTTTTTAAGCATTTGATATCGTCCCTAAATATACACATTACCTACAAACCAAGTATTCAGTGTTGTGTTATTTTTTTAACAGTCTGAAAATTTCTTTTCCCAGTGGATATTGTGCCATATAAGCGGTTATCCATGAAGAATCTTTTTTTCCTGCAAAATCTGGTATTTAGAGCGCCGGCAGAGTGAATAGGACGAGCAAAAATAATACATATATAAACTGTGAATGATGTCATCACCAGAATGTTTTTGTGGGTGTGCACAATTTTCTAATATTGTTAAAAGATTGGACACTCTAAAATGCACCTAAAAACTGATTTAAATAATAATATAGAGTGAAATATTTAAGACAATCGAAGATTTGTAGAATTGCATTAGCGTTTTGTAATTCGTAGGTAACACGGTGGAACACCGACTTTGATAGTTATCGCAAAAGTTGTACAGTAACTGGGTCTCAACATAAATAATGTCAGTCCTACATATTTTGTTTTTGTTGACGTATACAAAGACCAATATATTGTCATTATTTTGATATTTAATTTTATTTTGTCATTTTCCATACACCAGTCAATGAATTAATCGAATAATTCTCAGAATATCAATATTACCCTTTTCTCCTAACGCTGTACGTACGTAGAATATTTTTGTACATGACAAACCGCATCTCGGATCAAGACGAATTTTCAGGATATTGTAGTCAAAATGCTAAAGAAACTTTCTGAAAAGTTTGATTGTGATTGGTCCATGTACCTAGGAATTATAGATTTTATCGGCAAGAACTTCAAATTCGTCAGAGGTCAAAATTTCTCCATGAAGAAGAGAGAAACAAAATAAACTTTTTTATCTGGATTTTCTTCACATTTAATGATGGCATTTGATTCCCCCGATATTATTTGATATTTTATTGTCATGTATTCATTTCTCATAATGTATGTGGAATTGATTTTAATTTTATTTCAAATAGTTTATCATGAAAAAATCATCGATTTTCCTTCGATATCTAGTATAATAGCTGTAAAGAAAAAAAAAAAAAAAAGCAAACTATGAAATAAAACGAATATCGCTTTCAAAATGATCGAACTCGCAAGTCGCGACCCCCCCCCCCTTTTTTTTTTTCTTTTCCTACTTTTTTTTCTTGCTGCAAGAAAGCGAAAGCAGGCTTTAAGGAGGCAGACATTGTTTGTGACACAAAGTTGTATAGAGAGGAAAATAGTTTAAGAAGACGGGATTGGTGTATAATAAATATGTTGATATTTTGATAACCGCTTGGTTGAGGCGTTGAACACTTTGAATGAGTTGAAATAAATAAAATAAATATATTGAATGCGATTAGAACATACATAAAATGTAGAGCGAGCTTCTTTGGCACATTGCAAAGCCAGGAGTGGATCATAAGTGGTATATCTGGAAGGAAGTTCAAAGAAAAGGGGAGAGGGGGCGGGTTCAGATCTGCCTTATAAATATGGAAATTATTTTGCTATAGTATATGTTTCAAAGGGACCAAGTTCCTATTATGCTATAGATATAGGTAAGTTAGCGGTATTGCAGTGTACATACGTGTAGCATCATTCATGCAAACATTGGAGGACATATCGCACGGTATCTGCAGTCATTTCAAGGTTCGGCATGGAACGTTATGATCTCAAAGAGACACAAAACGTCACAATATGGATGACGTCATAAAAGTGAGATGTCATACTTTCTCAGTTGTCAAGGAACACTGTAGTGAAGGAAAAGGCAGCAAACATTTGGTAAGAATTTCCATAGCTTTTATTCTAAGAAATTTGTCCTTATTCTGTAAAATGAAGTAGAGAACCTGTTTCGTATCTTCCAAATGATAGAAATCGACATGTTCCGCATATTCCATTTATTAATTTTGACTTGACAATAAATAATTAAAAGGATTAAGAAAAGTGGAAGGGCGGTTGAAATGAAATTGCAAAATAAACTTTTTTTTTCTTTTTTTTGCAATGTGAGATTTTATTTTTTTTCTTATTTTAGAAAACATGGAGGATAAGTTACAAATACTGAAGTTCGACAAGCCGTGGTATGTTATGGTGGAAGACCATGAAATGTGTCAGGTAATTTCAAATTAAATACTACATGCACGTGTCTCATGCATTCTAACACAAGAACAGTGTTTACAAACTTGGAGACTTTTTTGTCGTTTAATGACGAGTGAGTGAAATAGATCACAAATGCCCAGTTCAACGGTCAGTCATATTAGATTAAATCAAATATAAGCGCTCGAATAACTTAGTAGACCTTTCTTAATTTTCACTTGATGGGTTGTAGTTAATATTAAGCTGTCCTAAGTTTTCACAAGTATCGTGCAGAATATTCGAAAAGTATAGAGTGGTCTTTTGACCATCACCTAACTGTTTGACGCGATGCTGCATGTCCGAAATAAATTGACAGTTTTCACTGTATGTTTACAGCTGTGTGTTTAAGAACAAAGCTTTTTTGTGAAGCAGATAGGTTCTACAGAGTACCAGTTTAGAATTGTAAATTCAATCAATTGATTAACATTAATTGTCGCATTTTCTTCATTCTAGAGCATTTTTGACGATCTTCTTGAAAAAGTGGATAGAGAGATTGCTATCAAAAACAAACTGGACGCTCTAATGGCAAGAGCGCAGGTATTCATATGTTACATGCCTTTGTATATTTATAAATTGCATTTTGATTGGAAATATGTCGATTTGGCAATTTTGTCTTTTCGATTCTGAACTGAAAAAAAAAATTTTATGTGTTTTAAAAAATATTTACATTAATTTTAGGAAAGGCAAAGGAGGTATGAAATTCTCAAGTTTGATAGACCGTGGTGCGAAATGGTGGAGGAACCAGAAATATGCGAGGTAAGCACGGAAAATGAACGTTTTCATCAATGTGCATTTTTTAAGTTTTAATGCTCTACCAGAAATCTTTAAGCATGCGCTCAGTTGTATAAATACACCCCTTATATAGAATGTCAAACACTTTTAAATCGAAATAAATGTATCCAATAAGTACATCAGTGTCGGACAACAATCAATTTACTTGACTTTATTCTAGGATATACTCGATGACTTGACCACGGGAGTGGAGACAGAGGATGACACACGACATTTTAAACACGTGATGGCTACCGTTCTTGATGAGTTAAAGGTAGGTTGTCATCTGAAAATTTGCTTTAAAAACATTTTCTTTTTTTTAATGTAAGCTACAAAAATCTGCAGTACTGAGAATAATGTAGTTTGTGTTCAATTAAGTGACACAAAGGCAACGAAATGCAAAGATTTCATTTTAAATAAGTTATCTTTTTTTCCTCAAAAAATTAATTCCTTCTTTTTAGTCGAAAATACCCGTTCTTCAAGAACAAGAGACGACCTCGTTAAAGAAAGATGCTTCAATGAAAGACACAAACGCTGATATAAAGAAGACAGATAATACTTCTAGTGTCGTAAGTCTCTCACAATTTTACCCCCCCCCCCCCCCGCCAATAATGTAAAGCAAATATTTAGAGATTTTATTTCTTAAACTATAACATTCGAATTAATCTGACTAATTGATTTTATTTATTTCTTTATTTTATTTTCTAACTTTTTTTCCCTATTTTCTTGCAGGTCACTCGTAGAACATTTTTCCAGAACATGAAGAAAAGGCTCCGCAAGATGTTCTTCAGTTGTTGTATGAAGCAAGGAGAAGACTGTGATACTTGTTAATACTTGTTAAATATCTTCCTGTCTTTCGAATTTGAACGTTTTGTAATTTTTTTAAGCATTTGATATCGTCCCTAAATATACACATTACCTACAAACCAAGTATTCAGTGTTGTGTTATTTTTTTAACAGTCTGAAAATTTCTTTTCCCAGTGGATATTGTGCCATATAAGCGGTTATCCATGAAGAATCTTTTTTTCCTGCAAAATCTGGTATTTAGAGCGCCGGCAGAGTGAATAGGACGAGCAAAAATAATACATATATAAACTGTGAATGATGTCATCACCAGAATGTTTTTGTGGGTGTGCACAATTTTCTAATATTGTTAAAAGATTGGACACTCTAAAATGCACCTAAAAACTGATTTAAATAATAATATAGAGTGAAATATTTAAGACAATCGAAGATTTGTAGAATTGCATTAGCGTTTTGTAATTCGTAGGTAACACGGTGGAACACCGACTTTGATAGTTATCGCAAAAGTTGTACAGTAACTGGGTCTCAACATAAATAATGTCAGTCCTACATATTTAGTTTTTGTTGACGTATACAAAGACCAATATATTGTCATTATTTTGATATTTAATTTTATTTTGTCATTTTCCATACACCAGTCAATGAATTAATCGAATAATTCTCAGAATATCAATATTACCCTTTTCTCCTAACGCTGTACGTACGTAGAATATTTTTGTACATGACAAACCGCATCTCGGATCAAGACGAATTTTCAGGATATTGTAGTCAAAATGCTAAAGAAACTTTCTGAAAAGTTTGATTGTGATTGGTCCATGTACCTAGGAATTATAGATTTTATCGGCAAGAACTTCAAATTCGTCAGAGGTCAAAATTTCTCCATGAAGAAGAGAGAAACAAAATAAACTTTTTTATCTGGATTTTCTTCACATTTAATGATGGCATTTGATTCCCCCGATATTATTTGATATTTTATTGTCATGTATTCATTTCTCATAATGTATGTGGAATTGATTTTAATTTTATTTCAAATAGTTTATCATGAAAAAATCATCGATTTTCCTTCGATATCTAGTATAATAGCTGTAAAGAAAAAAAAAAAAAAAGCAAACTATGAAATAAAACGAATATCGCTTTCAAAATGATCGAACTCGCAAGTCGCGACCCCCCCCCCCCTTTTTTTTTCTTTTCCTACTTTTTTTTCTTGCTGCAAGAAAGCGAAAGCAGGCTTTAAGGAGGCAGACATTGTTTGTGACACAAAGTTGTATAGAGAGGAAAATAGTTTAAGAAGACGGGATTGGTGTATAATAAATATGTTGATATTTTGATAACCGCTTGGTTGAGGCGTTGAACACTTTGAATGAGTTGAAATAAATAAAATAAATATATTGAATGCGATTAGAACATACATAAAATGTAGAGCGAGCTTCTTTGGCACATTGCAAAGCCAGGAGTGGATCATAAGTGGTATATCTGGAAGGAAGTTCAAAGAAAAGGGGAGAGGGGGCGGGTTCAGATCTGCCTTATAAATATGGAAATTATTTTGCTATAGTATATGTTTCAAAGGGACCAAGTTCCTATTATGCTATAGATATAGGTAAGTTAGCGGTATTGCAGTGTACATACGTGTAGCATCATTCATGCAAACATTGGAGGACATATCGCACGGTATCTGCAGTCATTTCAAGGTTCGGCATGGAACGTTATGATCTCAAAGAGACACAAAACGTCACAATATGGATGACGTCATAAAAGTGAGATGTCATACTTTCTCAGTTGTCAAGGAACACTGTAGTGAAGGAAAAGGCAGCAAACATTTGGTAAGAATTTCCATAGCTTTTATTCTAAGAAATTTGTCCTTAATCCGTAAAATGAAGTAGAGAACCTGTTTCGTATCTTCCAAATGATAGAAATCGACATGTTCCGCATATTCCATTTATTAATTTTGACTTGACAATAAATAATTAAAAGGATTAAGAAAAGTGGAAGGGCGGTTGAAATGAAATTGCAAAATAAACTTTTTTTTCTTTTTTTTTTGCAATGTAGATTTTATTTTTTCTTCTTATTTTAGAAAACATGGAGGATAAGTTACAAATACTGAAGTTCGACAAGCCGTGGTATGTTATGGTGGAAGACCATGAAATGTGTCAGGTAATTTCAAATTAAATACTACATGCACGTGTCTCATGCATTCTAACACAAGAACAGTGTTTACAAACTTGGAGACTTTTTTGTCGTTTAATGACGAGTGAGTGAAATAGATCACAAATGCCCAGTTCAACGGTCAGTCATATTAGATTAAATCAAATATAAGCGCTCGAATAACTTAGTAGACCTTTCTTAATTTTCACTTGATGGGTTGTAGTTAATATTAAGCTGTCCTAAGTTTTCACAAGTATCGTGCAGAATATTCGAAAAGTATAGAGTGGTCTTTTGACCATCACCTAACTGTTTGACGCGATGCTGCATGTCCGAAATAAATTGACAGTTTTCACTGTATGTTTACAGCTGTGTGTTTAAGAACAAAGCTTTTTTGTGAAGCAGATAGGTTCTACAGAGTACCAGTTTAGAATTGTAAATTCAATCAATTGATTAACATTAATTGTCGCATTTTCTTCATTCTAGAGCATTTTTGACGATCTTCTTGAAAAAGTGGATAGAGAGATTGCTATCAAAAACAAACTGGACGCTCTAATGGCAAGAGCGCAGGTATTCTTATGTTACATGCCTTTGTATATTTATAAATTGCATTTTGATTGGAAATATGTCGATTTGGCAATTTTGTCCTTTCGATTCTAAACTTTAAAAAATGGCGAATTTTATGTGTTTTAAAAAATATTTACATTAATTTTAGGAAAGGCAAAGGAGGTATGAAATTCTCAAGTTTGATAGACCGTGGTGCGAAATGGTGGAGGAACCAGAAATATGCGAGGTAAGCACGGAAAATGAACGTTTTCATCAATGTGCATTTTTTAAGTTTTAATGCTCTACCAGAAATCTTTAAGCATGCGCTCAGTTGTATAAATACACCCCTTATATAGAATGTCAAACACTTTTAAATCGAAATAAATGTATCCAATAAGTACATCAGTGTCGGACAACAATCAATTTACTTGACTTTATTTAGGATAGGATATACTCGATGACTTGACCACGGGAGTGGAGACAGAGGATGACACACGACATTTTAAACACGTGATGGCTACCGTTCTTGATGAGTTAAAGGTAGGTTGTCATCTGAAAATTTGCTTTAAAAACATTGTTATCTTTTTTTTAATGGAAGCTACAAAAATCTGCAGAATTGAGAATAATGTAGTTTGTGTTCAATTAAGTGACACAAAGGCAACGAAATGCAAAGATTTCATTTTAAACAAGTTATCTTTTTTTTCTCAAAAAATTTATTCCTTCTTTTTAGTCGAAAATACCCGTTCTTCAAGAACAAGAGACGACCTCGTTAAAGAAAGATGCTTCAATGAAAGACACAAACGCTGATATAAAGAAGACAGATAATACTTCTAGTGTCGTAAGTCTCTCACAATTTTACCCCCCCCCCCCCCGCCAATAATGTAAAGCAAATATTTAGAGATTTTATTTCTTAAACTATAACATTCGAATTAATCTGACTAATTGATTTTATTTATTTCTTTATTTTATTTTCTAACTTTTTTTCCCTATTTACTTGCAGGTTTTTTTCAATTTTCTTGACCTATTTACTTCAGGTCAGTAGAACATTTTTCCAGAACATGAAGAAAAGGCTCCGCAAGATGTTCTTCAGTTGTTGTATGAAGCAAGGAGAAGACTGTGATACTTGTTAAATATCTGTCTTTTCCTTCTTTTATTTGAACGATTTGTAATTTTTTTAAGCATTTGATATTGTCCCTAAATATACACATTACCTACAAACCAAGTATTCAGTGTTGTGTTATTTTTTTAACAGTCTGAAAATTTCTTTTCCCAGTGGATATTGTGCCATATAAGCGGTTATCCATGAAGAATCTTTTTTTCCTGCAAAATCTGGTATTTGGAGCGCCGGCAGAGTGAATAGGGGGAGCAAAAATAATACATATATAAACTGTGAATGATGTCATCACCAGAATGTTTTTGTGGGTGTGCACAATTTTCTAATATTGTTAAAAGATTGGACACTCTAAAATGCACCTTAAAACTGGTTTAAAAAATAATACAGTGTGAAATATTTAAGACAAGCGAAGATTTGTAGCATTGTATTAGCGTTTTTTAATTCGTAGATAACACGGTGGAACACCGACTTTGATAATTATCGCAAAAGTTGTACAGTAACTGGGTCTCAACATAAATAATGTCAGTCCTACATATTTAGTTTTTGTTGACGTATACAAAGACCAATATATTGTCATTGTTTTGATATTTAATTTTATTTTGTCATTTTCCATACACCAGTCAATGAATTAATCGTATAATTCTCAGAATATCAATATTACCCTTTTCTCCTAACGCTGTACGTACGTAGAATATTTTTGTACATGACAAACCGCATCTGGGATCAAGACGAATTTTCAGGATATTGTAGTCAAAATGCTAAAGAAACTTTCTGAAAAGTTTGATTGTGATTGGTCCATGTACCTAGGAATTATAGATTTTATCGGCAAGAACTTCAAATTCGTCAGAGGTCAAAATTTCTGCATGAAGAAGAGAGAAACAAAATAAACCTTTTTATCTGGATTTTCTTCACATTTCATTGATGGCATTTGATTCCCCCGATATTATTTGATATTTTATTGTCATGTATTCATTTCTCATAATGTATGTGGAATTGATTTTAATTTTATTTCAAATAGTTTATCATGAAAAAATTATCGATTTTCACTTGATAACTAGTATAATAGCTGTGAAAAAAAAAAACAAAACAAAAACAAAAAAACTATGAAATAAAAGGATTATCGCTTTCAAAATAATCGAACTCGCAAGTCGCAACCTTTTTTTTCCCTACTTTTTTTCTTGCTGCAAGAAAGCGAAAGTAGGGTTTAAGGAGGCAGACATTGCTTGTGGCAGAAAGTTGTATAGAGAGGAAAATAGTTTAAGAAGACGGGATTGGTGTATAATAAATGTGTTGATATTTTGATAACCGCTTGGTTGAGGCGTTGAACACTTTGAATGAGTTGAAATAAATAAAATAAATATATTGAATGCGATTAGAACATACATAAAATGTAGAGCGAGCTTCTTTGGCACATTGCAAAGCCGGGGGTGGATCATAAGTGGTATATCTGGAAGGAAGGTCAAAGAAAAGGGGAGAGGGGGCGGGTTCAGATCTGCCTTATAGATATGGAAATTACTTTGCTATAGTATATGTTTCAAAGGGACCAAGTTCAAAGATATATGTAAGTTAGCGGTATTGCAGTGTACATACATGTAGCATCATTTATGCAAACATTAGAGGACATATTGCACGGTATCTGCAGTCATTTCAGGGTTCGGCATGGAACGTTATGATCTCAAAGAGACACAAAACGTCACAATATCGATGACGTCATAAAAGTGAGATGTCATACTTTCTCAGTTGTCAAGAAACACTGTAGTGAAGGAAAAGGTAGCAAACATTTGGTAAGAATTTCCATAGCTTTTATTCTAAGAAATTTGTCCTTATTCTGTAAAATGAAGTAGAGAACCTGTTTCATATCTTCCAAATAATAGAAATCGACATGTTCCGTATATTCATTTATTCATTTTGACTTGACAATAAATAATTAAAAGGATGAAGAGAAGTGGGAGGGCGGTTGAAATGAAATTGCAAAATAAACTTTTTTTTTCTCTTTTCTGTAATGTGAGATTTTATTTTTTCTTCTTATTTTAGAAAACATGGAGGATAAGTTACAAATACTGAAGTTCGACAAGCCGTGGTATGTTATGGTGGAGGACCATGAGATGTGTCAGGTAATTTCAAACTAAATACTACATGCACGAGTCTCATGCATTCTAACACAAAAACAGTGTTTACAAACTTGGAGACTTTTTTGTCGTTTAATGACGAGTTAGTGAAATAGATCACAAATGCCCAATTCAACGGTCAGTCATATAAGATTTAATCAAATATAAGCGCTCGAATAACTTAGTAGACCTTTTTAATTTTCACTTCATGGGTTGTAGTTAATATTAAGCTGTCCTAAGTTTTCACAAGTATCGTGCGGAATTCGAAAAGTAGAGAGTGATCTTTCGACCATCACCTAAATGTTTGACGCGATGCTACATGTCCGAAATAAATTGACAGTTTTCATTGTATGTTTACAGTGTGTTTAAGAACAAAGTTTTTTGTGTGAAGCAGATAGGTTCTACAGAGTACCAGTTTAGAATTGTAAATTCAATCAATTGATTAACATTAATTGTCGTATTTTCTTCATTCTAGAGCATTTTTGACGATCTTCTTGAAAAAGTGGATAGAGAGATTGCTATCAAAAACAAACTGGACGCTCTAATGGCAAGAGCACAGGTATGCATATATTACATGCCTTTGTATATTTATAAATTGCACCTTGATTGGAAATATGTCCATTTGGGAATTTTGTCTTTTCAATTCTGAACTGAAAAAAATGGCAAATTTTATGTGTTTTTAAAAATTATTTATATTAATTTTAGGAAAGGCAAAGGAGGTATGAAATTCTCAAGTTTGATAGACCGTGGTGCGAAATGGTGGAGGAACCAGAAATATGCGAGGTAAGCACGGAAAATGAACGTTTACATCAATGTGCATTTTTTTTTTTAAGTTTTAATGCTCTACCAGAAATCTTTAAGCACGCGCTCAGTTGTATAAATACACCCTTTATATAGAATGTCAAACACTTTTAAATCGAAATAAATGTATCCAATAAGTACATCGGTGTCGGACAGCAATCAATTTTCTTGAGTTTATTCTAGGATATACTCGATGACTTGACCACGGGAGTGGAGACAGAGGACGACACACAACATTTTAAACACGTGATGGCTACCGTTCTTGATGAGTTAAAGGTAGGTTGTCATATCTGAAAATTTGCTTTAAAAACATTGTGATTTTTTTTTTAATGGAAGCTACAAAATTGAGAATTGAGAATAATGTAGTTTGTGTTCAATTAAGTGACACAAAGGCAACGAAATGCAAAGATTTCATTTTAAACAAGTTATCTTTTTTTTTCTCAAAAAATCAATTCCTTCCTTTTAGTCGAAAATACCCGTTCTTCAAGAACAAGAGACGACCTTGTTAAAGAAAGATGCTTCAATGAAAGACACAAACGCTGATATAAAGAAGACAGATAATACTTTAAGTGTCGTAAGTCTCTCACAATTTTAACCCCCCCCCCCCCCCCCCGCCAATAATGTGAAGCAAATACAATGTATTTAGAGATTTTCTTTCTTATACTATAACATTCGAATTAATCTGACTGATTGATTTTATTTATTTCTTTATTTTATTTCTAACTTTTTTTTCCCTATTTACTTGCAGGTCACTCGTAGAACATTTTTCCAGAACATGAAGAAAAGGCTCCGCAAGATGTTCTTCAGTTGTTGTATGAAGCAAGGAGAAGACTGTGATACTTGTTAAATATCTGTTCCTGTCTTTCGTATTTGAACGATTTGTAATTTTTTTAAGCATTTGACATTGTCCCTAAATATACACATTACCTACAAACCAAGTATTCAGTGTTGTGTTATTTTTTTAACAGTCTGAAAATTTCTTTTCCCAGTGGATATTGTGCCATATAAGCGGTTATCCATGAAGAATCTTTTTTCCCCTAAAATCTCGCATTTGGAGCGCCGGCAGAGTGAACAGGGGGAGCAAAAATAATACATTTATAACCTGGAATGACGTCATCACCAGAATGTTTTTGTGGGTGTGCACAATTTTCTAATATTGTTAAAAGATTGGACACCCTAAAATGCACCTTAAAACTGATTTTAAAAATAATATAGAGTGAAATATTTAAGTCAAGCGAAGATTTGTAGCATTGTATTAGCGTTTTTTAATTCGTAGATAACACGGTGGAACACCGACTTTGATAATTATCGCTAAAGTTGTACAGTAACTGGGTCTCAACATAAATAACGTCAGTCCTACATATATAGTTTTTGTTGACGTATACAAAGACCAATATATTGTCATTGTTTTGATATTTAATTTTATTTTGTCATTTTCCATACACCAGTCAATGAATTAATCGTATGATTCTCAGAATATCAATATTACCCTTTTCTCCTAACTCTGTACGTACGTAGAATATTTCTGTACATGACAAACCGCATCTGGGATCAAGACGAATTTTCAGGATATTGTAGTCAAAATGTTAAAGAAACTTTCTGGAAAGTTTGATTGTGATTGGTCCATGTACCTAGGAATTATAGATTTTATCGGCAAGAACTTCAAATTCGTCAGAGGTCAAAATTTCTGCATGAAAAAGAGAGAAACAAAATAAACCTTTTTATCTGGATTTTCTTCACATTTCATTGATGGCATTTGATTCCCCCGATATTATTTGATATTTTATTGTCATGTATTCATTTCTCATAATGTATGTGGAATTGATTTTAATTTTATTTCAAATAGTGTATCATGAAAAAATTATCGATTTCCACTTGATAACTAGTATAATAGCTGTGAAAAAAAAAACAAAAAAAAAAAAACTATGAAATAAAAGGATTATCGCTTTCAAAATAATCGAACTCGCAAGTCGCAACCTTTTTTTCCCTACTTTTTTTCTTGCTGCAAGAAAGCGAAAGTAGGGTTTAAGGAGGCAGACATTGCTTGTGGCAGAAAGTTGTACAGAGAGGAAAATAGTTTAAGAAGACGGGATTGGTGTATAATAAATGTGTTGATATTTTGATAACCGCTTGGTTGAGGCGTTGAACACTTTGAATGAGTTGAAATAAATAAAATAAATATATTGAATGCGATTAGAACATACATAAAATGTAGAGCGAGCTTCTTTGGCACATTGCAAAGCCGGGGGTGGATCATAAGTGGTATATCTGGAAGGAAGGTCAAAGAAAAGGGGAGAGGGGGCGGGTTCAGATCTGCCTTATAGATATGGAAATTACTTTGCTATAGTATATGTTTCAAAGGGACCAAGTTCAAAGATATATGTAAGTTAGCGGTATTGCAGTGTACATACATGTAGCATCATTTATGCAAACATTAGAGGACATATTGCACGGTATCTGCAGTCATTTCAGGGTTCGGCATGGAACGTTATGATCTCAAAGAGACACAAAACGTCACAATATCGATGACGTCATAAAAGTGATGATGTACTTTCTCAGTTGTCAAGAAACACTGTAGTGAAGGAAAAGGTAGCAAACATTTGGTAAGAATTTCCATAGCTTTTATTCTAAGAAATTTGTCCTTATTCTGTAAAATGAAGTAGAGAACCTGTTTCATATCTTCCAAATAATAGAAATCGACATGTTCCGTATATTCATTTATTCATTTTGACTTGACAATAAATAATTAAAAGGATGAAGAGAAGTGGGAGGGCGGTTGAAATGAAATTGCAAAATAAACTTTTTTTTTCTCTTTTCTGTAATGTGAGATTTTATTTTTTCTTCTTATTTTAGAAAACATGGAGGATAAGTTACAAATACTGAAGTTCGACAAGCCGTGGTATGTTATGGTGGAGGACCATGAGATGTGTCAGGTAATTTCAAACTAAATACTACATGCACGAGTCTCATGCATTCTAACACAAAAACAGTGTTTACAAACTTGGAGACTTTTTTGTCGTTTAATGACGAGTTAGTGAAATAGATCACAAATGCCCAATTCAACGGTCAGTCATATAAGATTTAATCAAATATAAGCGCTCGAATAACTTAGTAGACCTTTTTAATTTTCACTTCATGGGTTGTAGTTAATATTAAGCTGTCCTAAGTTTTCACAAGTATCGTGCGGAATTCGAAAAGTAGAGAGTGATCTTTCGACCATCACCTAAATGTTTGACGCGATGCTACATGTCCGAAATAAATTGACAGTTTTCATTGTATGTTTACAGTGTGTTTAAGAACAAAGTTTTTTGTGTGAAGCAGATAGGTTCTACAGAGTACCAGTTTAGAATTGTAAATTCAATCAATTGATTAACATTAATTGTCGTATTTTCTTCATTCTAGAGCATTTTTGACGATCTTCTTGAAAAAGTGGATAGAGAGATTGCTATCAAAAACAAACTGGACGCTCTAATGGCAAGAGCACAGGTATGCATATATTACATGCCTTTGTATATTTATAAATTGCACCTTGATTGGAAATTGTCCATTTGGGAATTTTGTCTTTTCAATTCTGAACTGAAAAAAATGGCAAATTTTATGTGTTTTTAAAAATTATTTATATTAATTTTAGGAAAGGCAAAGGAGGTATGAAATTCTCAAGTTTGATAGACCGTGGTGCGAAATGGTGGAGGAACCAGAAATATGCGAGGTAAGCACGGAAAATGAACGTTTACATCAATGTGCATTTTTTTTTTTAAGTTTTAATGCTCTACCAGAAATCTTTAAGCACGCGCTCAGTTGTATAAATACACCCTTTATATAGAATGTCAAACACTTTTAAATCGAAATAAATGTATCCAATAAGTACATCGGTGTCGGACAGCAATCAATTTTCTTGAGTTTATTCTAGGATATACTCGATGACTTGACCACGGGAGTGGAGACAGAGGACGACACACAACATTTTAAACACGTGATGGCTACCGTTCTTGATGAGTTAAAGGTAGGTTGTCATATCTGAAAATTTGCTTTAAAAACATTGTGATTTTTTTTTTAATGGAAGCTACAAAATTGAGAATTGAGAATAATGTAGTTTGTGTTCAATTAAGTGACACAAAGGCAACGAAATGCAAAGATTTCATTTTAAACAAGTTATCTTTTTTTTTCTCAAAAAATCAATTCCTTCCTTTTAGTCGAAAATACCCGTTCTTCAAGAACAAGAGACGACCTTGTTAAAGAAAGATGCTTCAATGAAAGACACAAACGCTGATATAAAGAAGACAGATAATACTTTAAGTGTCGTAAGTCTCTCACAATTTTAACACCCCCCCCCCCCCCGCCAATAATGTGAAGCAAATACAATGTATTTAGAGATTTTCTTTCTTATACTATAACATTCGAATTAATCTGACTGATTGATTTTATTTATTTCTTTATTTTATTTCTAACTTTTTTTTCCCTATTTACTTGCAGGTCACTCGTAGAACATTTTTCCAGAACATGAAGAAAAGGCTCCGCAAGATGTTCTTCAGTTGTTGTATGAAGCAAGGAGAAGACTGTGATACTTGTTAAATATCTGTTCCTGTCTTTCGTATTTGAACGATTTGTAATTTTTTTAAGCATTTGACATTGTCCCTAAATATACACATTACCTACAAACCAAGTATTCAGTGTTGTGTTATTTTTTTAACAGTCTGAAAATTTCTTTTCCCAGTGGATATTGTGCCATATAAGCGGTTATCCATGAAGAATCTTTTTTCCCCTAAAATCTCGCATTTGGAGCGCCGGCAGAGTGAACAGGGGGAGCAAAAATAATACATTTATAACCTGGAATGACGTCATCACCAGAATGTTTTTGTGGGTGTGCACAATTTTCTAATATTGTTAAAAGATTGGACACCCTAAAATGCACCTTAAAACTGATTTTAAAAATAATATAGAGTGAAATATTTAAGTCAAGCGAAGATTTGTAGCATTGTATTAGCGTTTTTTAATTCGTAGATAACACGGTGGAACACCGACTTTGATAATTATCGCTAAAGTTGTACAGTAACTGGGTCTCAACATAAATAACGTCAGTCCTACATATATAGTTTTTGTTGACGTATACAAAGACCAATATATTGTCATTGTTTTGATATTTAATTTTATTTTGTCATTTTCCATACACCAGTCAATGAATTAATCGTATGATTCTCAGAATATCAATATTACCCTTTTCTCCTAACTCTGTACGTACGTAGAATATTTCTGTACATGACAAACCGCATCTGGGATCAAGACGAATTTTCAGGATATTGTAGTCAAAATGTTAAAGAAACTTTCTGGAAAGTTTGATTGTGATTGGTCCATGTACCTAGGAATTATAGATTTTATCGGCAAGAACTTCAAATTCGTCAGAGGTCAAAATTTCTGCATGAAAAAGAGAGAAACAAAATAAACCTTTTTATCTGGATTTTCTTCACATTTCATTGATGGCATTTGATTCCCCCGATATTATTTGATATTTTATTGTCATGTATTCATTTCTCATAATGTATGTGGAATTGATTTTAATTTTATTTCAAATAGTGTATCATGAAAAAATTATCGATTTCCACTTGATAACTAGTATAATAGCTGTGAAAAAAAAAAAAAAAAAAAAAAAACTATGAAATAAAAGGATTATCGCTTTCAAAATAATCGAACTCGCAAGTCGCGACCTTCTTTTTTTTTTTCCCTACTTTTTTTCTTGCTGCAAGAAAGCGAAAGTAGGGTTTAAGGAGGCAGACATTGCTTGTGGCAGAAAGTTGTACAGAGAGGAAAATAGTTTAAGAAGACGGGATTGGTGTATAATAAATGTGTTGATATTTTGATAACCGCTTGGTTGAGGCGTTGAACACTTTGAATGAGTTGAAATAAATAAAATAAATATATTGAATGCGATTAGAACATACATAAAATGTAGAGCGAGCTTCTTTGGCACATTGCAAAGCCGGGGGTGGATCATAAGTGGTATATCTGGAAGGAAGGTCAAAGAAAAGGGGAGAGGGGGCGGGTTCAGATCTGCCTTATAGATATGGAAATTACTTTGCTATAGTATATGTTTCAAAGGGACCAAGTTCAAAGATATATGTAAGTTAGCGGTATTGCAGTGTACATACATGTAGCATCATTTATGCAAACATTAGAGGACATATTGCACGGTATCTGCAGTCATTTCAGGGTTCGGCATGGAACGTTATGATCTCAAAGAGACACAAAACGTCACAATATCGATGACGTCATAAAAGTGAGATGTCATACTTTCTCAGTTGTCAAGAAACACTGTAGTGAAGGAAAAGGTAGCAAACATTTGGTAAGAATTTCCATAGCTTTTATTCTAAGAAATTTGTCCTTATTCTGTAAAATGAAGTAGAGAACCTGTTTCATATCTTCCAAATAATAGAAATCGACATGTTCCGTATATTCATTTATTCATTTTGACTTGACAATAAATAATTAAAAGGATGAAGAGAAGTGGGAGGGCGGTTGAAATGAAATTGCAAAATAAACTTTTTTTTTCTCTTTTCTGTAATGTGAGATTTTATTTTTTCTTCTTATTTTAGAAAACATGGAGGATAAGTTACAAATACTGAAGTTCGACAAGCCGTGGTATGTTATGGTGGAGGACCATGAGATGTGTCAGGTAATTTCAAACTAAATACTACATGCACGAGTCTCATGCATTCTAACACAAAAACAGTGTTTACAAACTTGGAGACTTTTTTGTCGTTTAATGACGAGTTAGTGAAATAGATCACAAATGCCCAATTCAACGGTCAGTCATATAAGATTTAATCAAATATAAGCGCTCGAATAACTTAGTAGACCTTTTTAATTTTCACTTCATGGGTTGTAGTTAATATTAAGCTGTCCTAAGTTTTCACAAGTATCGTGCGGAATTCGAAAAGTAGAGAGTGATCTTTCGACCATCACCTAAATGTTTGACGCGATGCTACATGTCCGAAATAAATTGACAGTTTTCATTGTATGTTTACAGTGTGTTTAAGAACAAAGTTTTTTGTGTGAAGCAGATAGGTTCTACAGAGTACCAGTTTAGAATTGTAAATTCAATCAATTGATTAACATTAATTGTCGTATTTTCTTCATTCTAGAGCATTTTTGACGATCTTCTTGAAAAAGTGGATAGAGAGATTGCTATCAAAAACAAACTGGACGCTCTAATGGCAAGAGCACAGGTATGCATATATTACATGCCTTTGTATATTTATAAATTGCACCTTGATTGGAAATATGTCCATTTGGGAATTTTGTCTTTTCAATTCTGAACTGAAAAAAATGGCAAATTTTATGTGTTTTTAAAAATTATTTATATTAATTTTAGGAAAGGCAAAGGAGGTATGAAATTCTCAAGTTTGATAGACCGTGGTGCGAAATGGTGGAGGAACCAGAAATATGCGAGGTAAGCACGGAAAATGAACGTTTACATCAATGTGCATTTTTTTTTTAAAGTTTTAATGCTCTACCAGAAATCTTTAAGCACGCGCTCAGTTGTATAAATACACCCTTTATATAGAATGTCAAACACTTTTAAATCGAAATAAATGTATCCAATAAGTACATCGGTGTCGGACAGCAATCAATTTTCTTGAGTTTATTCTAGGATATACTCGATGACTTGACCACGGGAGTGGAGACAGAGGACGACACACAACATTTTAAACACGTGATGGCTACCGTTCTTGATGAGTTAAAGGTAGGTTGTCATATCTGAAAATTTGCTTTAAAAACATTGTGATTTTTTTTTAATGGAAGCTACAAAATTGAGAATTGAGAATAATGTAGTTTGTGTTCAATTAAGTGACACAAAGGCAACGAAATGCAAAGATTTCATTTTAAACAAGTTATCTTTTTTTTTCTCAAAAAATCAATTCCTTCCTTTTAGTCGAAAATACCCGTTCTTCAAGAACAAGAGACGACCTTGTTAAAGAAAGATGCTTCAATGAAAGACACAAACGCTGATATAAAGAAGACAGATAATACTTTAAGTGTCGTAAGTCTCTCACAATTTTAACCCCACCACCCCCTCCCGCCAATAATGTGAAGCAAATATTTAGATATTTTATTTCTTAAACTATAACATTGGAATTAATCTGACTAATTGATTTTATTTATTTCTTTATTTTATTTCTAACTTTTTTTTCCCTATTTACTTGCAGGTCACTCGTAGAACATTTTTCCAGAACATGAAGAAAAGGCTCCGCAAGATGTTCTTCAGTTGTTGTATGAAGCAAGGAGAAGACTGTGATACTTGTTAAATATCTGTTCCTGTCTTTCGTATTTGAACGATTTGTAATTTTTTTAAGCATTTGACATTGTCCCTAAATATACACATTACCTACAAACCAAGTATTCAGTGTTGTGTTATTTTTTTAACAGTCTGAAAATTTCTTTTCCCAGTGGATATTGTGCCATATAAGCGGTTATCCATGAAGAATCTTTTTTTCCTGCAAAATCTCGTATTTGGAGCGCCGGCAGAGTGAACAGGGAGCAAAAATAATACATATATAACCTGGAATGACGTCATCACCAGAATGTTTTTGTGGGTGTGCACAATTTTCTAATATTGTTAAAAGATTGGACACCCTAAAATGCACCTTAAAACTGATTTTAAAAATAATATAGAGTGAAATATTTAAGTCAAGCGAAGATTTGTAGCATTGTATTAGCGTTTTTTAATTCGTAGATAACACGGTGGAACACCGACTTTGATAATTATCGCTAAAGTTGTACAGTAACTGGGTCTCAACATAAATAATGTCAGTCCTACATATATAGTTTTTGTTGACGTATACAAAGACCAATATATTGTCATTGTTTTGATATTTAATTTTATTTTGTCATTTTCCATACACCAGTCTGAAACTTATTTTAACCTCCGATTTCAGTAGTCAAACGTCCGGTACTTCTCTTTGACGCTTTTTGGCTTTCAAAGTCTCTTAATATTTTATAATATTCAGATTTCTTCAGAAAACACACAATATCAATTTTAATAAAAAACAAAAATACAAAAGAAAAAGAGTGAAAGAGATAGAGTGAGAGAGAAAGAGAAAAGAGACACAGAGAGAGAGGGCACACAGTGGGAAAGAGAGAGAGAGGCACACAGAGGGAGAGAGAGAGAGAGAGAGATTCTTACCCCTATGCTCTTTGTCGCTCTTCTGCTTCCTCACTCATCCTCTCCACATTTTCAAAGATGTCATCCTCTGTTTCAATGCTTCGTCTGAAACATTAATGTCGAAAATATTATATTAGAAACAAAGGAACAATATGGTTTTCAAAAAAAGGTAGATAAAAGAAATCCCAGGAAATAACTACAGAGTACCAAAAAATCATTTATTGCATAAAAATCATATTAAGGTAATATTACATTCAAACAAATCATATAAATGCATAATGTACATGCATCAGCAATTTAAAGGCTATGATTAATTGCATTCCTGTTATATGCAAAAAATACAAATAAAAATGGTTATCTCAATCTTATTCACATAACAATAGTAAGTTACGAAAACAGATCGGGGGGTCGTGACTTTGAATCTCGGCCAAGACTGATTTAAGACCATAAAAATGGGCAGCAACTGTTCCCTCGGCAAGTGGAAATTGCGGGTCCTTCGGATGAGACCTTAAAAACCGAGGTCCCGTGTCAAGGCTGACGTTAGCACAATAAAGATCCCTTACTGCTCAATAGCCCTGAGTGCCCAAGTTAAGGTAAAAAAAAATTGCAGCCCTTCACTGATATATTGTGACATCTCTATATACATGAGTGAATTATTCTCGAGTAGGACGTTAATTAAACATACAATTAATCAATCAATACAAAAACAAAAAGTTTCTACATTTTCCTATAGCTTTAAATTATATAAATGAAAGCAAATTATGTAGATCTTAATATTGTCATAAAACTAAAATATAAAGTTTATAAAGTGATAAAGTATCACGTAGTATGTCTGTGATAACCACAGTGAGCTGACTTAGCAGAAATCCTGTGGATAAGGTATAAACCAAGCACGGCAACGCTGAGGGCGAGGAGGTTCATCTGCTAAAGCATGTAAGAGCAGTGACACCACAAATACAAATAAACTTAATACCTGAGATTATCAATTTTGTTTCTTTCTCAGTTTTTGTCTTGAGTTTAACACAAACAGGAACAATTTAATGCGTCATGTTCTTGAGGAGATATATTTTGCGTCAGTATAACATAGCATGCTATGACAACACAGTATGATACATGTTGTAATAATGAATTGAGCATTAAAAAATATAAAAATGTCAGTGTAAATATGTATTAAGAAAAAAGCAAACATATAGCTATTAAGTTTTTGTTACAGTAGATTATTTCTTAGAAACTGAACTTCTTCATATTTGTAATTGAACAAGTTTAAGATTTAAAGAATCTAGGTATGTATTTTTTGCTAATTTAATACAAAAAAATGAATATATATACCTTAAAAGTAAACATTTTGGTCCCAGTATTTTCCCTTAAAAAAGAAAATCTCACAAATCTACAAATAATATTTCTGTAACTGTGGTTATATAAATATCAAGATCTGAATATGCATACACGAAACTTTGTTTTTAACTGTTTTATCTTATATATAAAATTCTTGAAATTAAAAAAAACACTGTGATATTTAAACGCCATTTCTGTCAATGGTCAATTAGAATTAGAAAAACTTAAAGTACGAAAGCAATAGGTTCAGTAGAGTGAACAAGTGGGTCAGAATAAATTTTCACATCAGAAATCTCTTATGTATGAATGTCTACAAAATAGAAAAAAATCAAAATATGCGACAAAAAGAAAGAACATCGAAGAAAAAGCCATTGACGACTTGGACTTCGACTGAATAGAAAGACATTATAGATATTTATAAAAGGCGGATTTCAAGTTTATGTTCTATATCAAATTCATGAATTAAATTGAAACAAATCTTGTATATGTTCAATCTGCTCTAGCAGTTAAAAATTGATACTAAAAATTACAGCTCTTCAATGGTGCTGTGCGCCATTACGAACTCCAAAACATTTGTTCTTGATGATAAAAATGATAATTGAAATGCATAGCGTTAATATTTACGGATTGAAAAAGTGCCCCTTTCCTTTACAATTTTAAAGTAGAGTTAAGTTTGTGATCAGGCATAAAAACTGCTTTGAATGCGGACTTTACCCTCACATTGACCAAGTCAAGGGCATGTAAAAAAAAAATCTGAAAACTTTCCTTTTCATGATTGTTTTCATTGCATCCAAACGCTACAAGTTATATATACCTTCAATGTATTATCTTGCTGCTAACACTTTGCAGCGATTACTTATTTAATTTCTAACTGTTTAAAAGACGTATAAACGAGCCGTTTTTAAACTCAGTAAGTATTTTGTTTGACCAGGATTGAAAACTGAGACGTCAGAGCAATGGCGCACAAAATATGCAAATTGAGAAATTCAAACATTGATTCGGTAGTAAAACATCCAAAAAAAAAAAAAATTTCCTGGATAAGAATTTTCATGGAGAATTTTAACAGCCTGTAAAATTTTTCATATGAAAAATCTATCAGACATAATAACAAAAATTATTATAATAATATTTCACGTTAAAGTTTAAACCTTTAGAGAATCAGGGATCAGTCAATCAAATCAGGGTTTTTATATTAATTATCATTTGTAACATATGCGGAGTGGTTAATGCGTTCGCTCTAGAGTCGAGCTGTGAGGATATACCAGGGTCATTCAAAAAATACGTAGACAATGTCCTCCATCATCATATTATTCTTACAAAATTTTAGATCAACACATTTTTAAATGTAAAAACATTTATTTTATCAGTAAGTAAAGTTTCATTATCGTGTTAGACAATTTTAAAAGTAACATGTTTTGTCACCACGAAGCACGGTTAACAACACTGTGACGTCAAAAACAAGATTTTTTTCTTAAAATTACTCTGCCTTTTCATTACATCCACGGTTTGTTGCTTCTGAATTCATGAATCTATAGCCCTTTACACCTAGTTTGCTAACAATTGTTTGAGTACCTTACGTTAAATTGTCAATGTTTTCAAATTCTTCATTGCGTAACTCCCCGCAAAAGCGAATCGCACATCACGTTTGATGACGTTACTAACTCTTTGACACGACTTTTTACTATAACTTGTTTTTTTCGCACACCGTTCATGGTCCGATTCCTAGTTTAAACAATAGTCATTCCCATTATAAACAAATGCATAGCACATTTTTATCTATTTCCTGGTTTACCAAGATGTTATGATATTATGTTATTATGATATTATAAAAATAGTACAACATAATCTTTATGTCAAACTGCAATATGCAGCATTTGAAATAAGAGTCAAAATAGAACACATGAAAAATGAAGTACAACTGCTATTCATTCCCTAACTTAAAAGCTAAACTCAAAAATGTTCCAAAATTTCAAAGCTTAGAAATGTTTTGTACGCTCAGTTATTGAACTAATTTGAAAATTAATCATTAATTAAATTAATAAAATTAAAACTAATTAATAATGCGAATGTTTTTTTTTTCGTATTAACTTTTAATATTTACTCACCAATTTTTGGTAAGAAGAAAATATCATGAGTGCAGATAAATCATTGAAATGTCTGTCTTAATTCATTGAAAAAACAGCCATTTATCTTCAAGGGCATACATTTTACTAAAACTTGTTAAAATGGGTTTAGGCTGCAGCAACAATCTAAAGTCGAAGTTTCGAGTTTGAATACTGGTGTATTCAATAAAATGATGAAATACATATTTATTCCTTCACTATTGCTTCTCCAAGCAATGACAGCAGGGTCACATTGATAAGTGAGTTACCCGGTTTTCTTTCGGCATTCTCATATACTAATTTTTACTATGAAAAATGCAGTTCTGTACATGATCGATACAGCGGTCTTGAACACGATATGCGAGATCAAAAGTTGTTAACTTCAACTAGGTTCTGAATAACACGTTTGGGGATTTTTCAGTGATTTTTTTGTTCCTTTTATGATTCCCTATATATTCTATTTACCAATAGGTCGCTGTAGATCTGCAGGAAAAAAAAATAAATTATACATTGTTTGTCTTATTTATGCACGATTTACTTACATTATTCGACGAGTTAAAAATATTTGTGTTATTTAGTAAGAGAAGGGGAAATCAGGATAAAAGTATAGGTCTTGCGTGGAATAGAACGCAAGTCCTCTGCAATACATACATGTAAGATGCACGTTGAGCTACATGTACTCAGTATGATAAATGCTGTACAAAACCAAAACACTGCCACATTTTAACTTCTGATTCATATTGTCTTTAAATACATATATTTTTTGGTTTTGTATGGGCTTATTAATTAAAATATAATCCCCCCCTTCCCCCAAAAAGAAAAAGGAATCCGAAGGAAAAACGAATAGATGAGAGAAGAACGAAAATATAAGCTTGGGCGGGAAATTTAACACGAGGCTCCTGACTTTTACTCAGTTGTTTCATCAGGGAGCTATGGAGACTGATTTATTTACGATTCAAAGCCTTATTTAATCTTCTAGAGCCGTAAAAGGAAAATTAATGTAGATATAGGTACTAAATGTCGGTCTAAGACTTTTTTGACGATGAAAATACACAAATGCAAATTATCACGTACTCCTCTGACCGATATCATAAGATAACATAACGCATGTAAGTTCAGAATTTATATTCAGCAGAATATGAAATGATACCTAATAGCGGATATAATTAATATTCGCGTATAAAACATTTAAAATTATTTAATAAAACAACAGCTTCCCGGATATCCAATAATTTTATGCATTGCATATCTATAGTAATGCATCGAAAAGCTATAACATAAACAAAAAATGGTATTTGAAGAAAAATAGTAATAATATGCATGCAAAAATATCCAATCCTTTTTTGATCCCTAATTTAAATGTGATTTGTAATCAACTTAAGTTGAAAAAAATATAGTTAAAGTGCTCCAATTTTCAGTAATGTTAAAAGTTACCTTTGGCAATATTCAATTCATTTTTAACATGTTCCCAGACCATGTGGTCTATATGTTGTAAAAAGTCCTTTCATTAGTCATAGAGCAAACTCAAATTGTTCTTATTCTCAGCAAAAATATATTAAAACTTTTCGATTAAAACCTGTTTTTACATTGATTTTCACATTTTGCGTAATAAGCATGTAATACTGTACCTTCCAGATGCTGCATGTGTCATAATATAAATATAATAAACTCTGTTCATTTATGCTGACTGATATTTATTCCACTGATATCCCTATGCGAAAAGGTAATCTATATACAGTATTTGACCGCATCTCCAGGTATATAGATAATAATACATACCCTTTTCCACATCACATCCTGTATCAGTCCGAGACACCAATATCAGCCAGAGGGCTGATATTGGTCAAGGGCTGAAACAGGATGTGATGTGGAAAAGGGTTTGTTTTATTATGTTTATTACATACTAAGTAATCATGCACGGTCTTTTTTACATGTACAAATACACGGTCTACTGTCTCATACGGTTTTGGTTTGTTTCTACTTCTATTTCAAATGTACTTAATCCGTAATTTGAAAATATAATCTTTTATATGTCAATTCGATTATCCTTACATCCGAAACGCTTTAATAAAAAAATTATGTAACCTCAAACTATGTGTATGATCACAAGTACTGTTTTTGAGGTTTAAATAACTAGGGGGTGATATAGATCCGTATCAGCTCCGCAAATCCATATTACTTCCTTGAGGGCTGATACGGCTATTGTGACGTCAGGCATATTGCATATGCAAAAATTCTGTTTGTATTACTAAGAATGTAATAAATAGAGATATTTCATTTTGAAAGAGAAATAAATGCATGTACACACAAGTATATCAAATGATTTCTTGTAGATGAAATCGGTATTGTTTATGGTTCTCCTGTTGGTCCTCTATTGTGTGATGGAAGCAGAAACTACCACCACCACTTCTTCCACCACTACCACTTCTACCAATTCTACCAATATTACGATCCCCGTACAACGTTGTCGCTGTCGTCACCGATGGCGTTGGTGGCGTTTGCGATGGCGATGGTGTCGCTGCTATCGCTTTCTCAGAGTGAGCAAAAATATCTTGTCTCATTTTTCTCATTATATAAAATCTCACAGTTATCTAATTTAAGTACAATGTGCCTATGTTCTCAATACAACGTTACTAAAAGGAGAGGCAAACAAATCATTTCTTAAAATTTGAAGGTGATGATAAAGAAATTAGAAATTCATTCAATTGGATAAAAAAAAAATCAGGGCAATGGTGCATTATTATTTTAAAAGGTAAAATGATTAAAAGTGACATGTAAATTTTGCATCTTGAAATGAAAAATATACTCGCGAAACGTAACAAATATGTTTTGAAAGGAGAAACAATTTTTTTTTTCTGTGATATGTATAGTAATATTAAATAGATACATAGTGATACTAAAATAAGGCGGCATTCAGTTTGATCAAATCAAAATTTATATGTTGGAATAAAGGTCATTTAACTATTTTATTGAAGAATATTTCGATTTAAAAGTATTTGACCCTTAGATATATGATTTCTTTTCCTTTTTAAATATGTAAATATTTTGTTCTTATTTAAATTTTATTGAAACAAAGAAGAGGAAAACATAATTTTTGCATCAATCTATAATAGTTTCAAATCTTTTGGCGCTATGTTTTCTTTTTCAATTTTTGTTTCTAAATTCAGAAGAAATACATTTAAACTTAACAGTATTCATCTTTTTTGTTTGTTTATTTAGATGGACAAATTATCCGACACAGAGCTCGAATCAGCTGAATAGAATTCCCTATCTTCCAGAGAAATGCTTTCCTGGTTTCTCAAAGATTAAAAAATAAAAATGTTGGCTTTTTTCCATTCTGGGTTTATTTTGACTGAATCCGTATACAAATTGGTTATAAATGCAAGGGTCAAAATGCAACCCCAAAGTAGGTTATTGTTTCTGACAAGGTCATAATTGTACCACCATGGAATTTTGAAATGTGAATTTAAAAATTAAGCATGAAAATTAAAATCAGCAGTCACATTATAGGTCGCATATGAAAGGGTTTGCACATGGATCTTGAACATGCTTCGAAGTATTGAATGGGTTGTGAGACGTCTTCAGTATACACATGTGACAGATGAAGATAACGCAATAAATAGGGAGACTTGAGTGTAGAAAGAGCGATTTAATCTAGTAAAGTCATTATAGGTGGTCCTTTTGGCATGTTACCTACAATAATCAAAACAATTCATGAATATAAAAAAAAACTAATCATACATAAAATGAGATTGTTTGTTTGAGGTCCTTGAATGGTTTCCAATCAACCGTGAGGATGACATTGACACCTATTTAGTTGTAGCCTTAGTACCACAAAAACTGCTATTAATAGAGTAGGTTATCATAATCATTACATTAACCATCAAAATGAAAGACACCGATTGCACAATTTGAATTTTTGAGCAAATCAACTTTACTTTTCTGTTCCCTTCACTGGCGCATGAGTGAGCCGTTTAACCAACTTTTTCGGTGTGTTTACCCGTAGCCCAATATAGCTTGAGTTTGTCAAGACTTTCTCGCAAACGATCACATTTACCCATTCGAATAGTCTTCTTAAGGTTTATCTTTTACTTACTGTATAGGGAATTAATTTCACGGGTTGTAATTTTCACGTTTTTCTCTCATCTGACAAGATCGCGGTTTCTTGAATTCGTGGAATTGGTACATAATAAAAGTTACCTCCCTTGTCTATATCCATTTATCCATACCATAGCTACATGTAAACGATATTGATAATCAGTGTTATGACTTTATTTCACGAACAACAGGGTTGGTTTAAATAAAATAATTAGATTTGATATAAAAAAAAATTGACGATTAATTAAAACAAGTGCGGTTATCAAAAATCCTTGACTCTAGACATCAAATGTCTTTCCTATATGCTATTACAATGAGTGCGTGTACACCCTAAGATCTTCGATACAACGCAACGAAAAAGCACTGGACGTAAAGCGTGATAATTAAATTAATTGAATGACGAGTACTACTCGTAATTACCCCGAAATCATGTTCATGTACTGAGTTATGTAGAATGATTGTTATTAACTCAAATTCCAAATAAAACCTGGAGATTATGAAAATTTATTCACTGTTTCAAATACAGGGACATTATTAACACCGTGAATATAGCGAATATTAACACCGCGAGTTATTTTCCCCCTATACAGTATTCAACATCTGTGGGACAGAGTGGAAGATAAAATTTTGATAACTCTTGAAATATGAGACAAAATCAAATGGGATTTGGGCTACACTTACAGTAAAAGAATTTAAACTTAAGATAAGAAAATTTGAATTTTCATATGGAAAAATAAAATTTTAACTAAAAAAATTACCCTGCTTTTTTTTCTTTTAATATATATATGGATATTACGAACAGTATCCAAGCTCAAAAGACCTTCAAACAATAAAAAATTGTAGCAGAGCAATCACAGATCCTCAAAATATCAGAGGTTGGATAAGGTGCCATGGAGGAGTGAGCATCCCCTGGCATGCTCCTTGTCATGATCGATAAATAACGAAAAACCATTTGTCAATTCAGTTTGTAAATAATGGTCTTAAAGTCAGTATGAAAAACGCTAGTAAACATTTAGCTTAGAAATGTAATCGCTGACAAGATCATTGTATGGACAACAGAATTTTTAAAAATGATAGCACAAAACGAGAATGCTGATATTCTTGTTTCACCAACTTGTTTGTGAAAAGGTAAAGTCATTTTAGAAACTGTCCATAGGTAGAGCATGTTCTTGTGTATATCGAATCAACTGAGATATCAACACAGAATGCAGGTGATGAAGTTAAATTGCTGCATAAGTAAGGGATGTTGACAATAAAAAATTGTAAGTGATCACTTTAATCATAAACTTAAATTGTTAGATTACTATTAATGTCTTTTTCCGTTAAGTGTCTCAATATGAAACAGATGTGTGAGACTAGGGAATCTTTTATTTCAAGCTCACTTGGATATGTCGTTTTGATTTTAGAGGTGAAATAACCATTTTTAATTGACAATACGTCGTCGATATATCTTAATGTCGAGTTGAAAGCCATAGCAAAAATTTTCTTCTTTTCATGTATAAGATTTTGGATAAATTTTGCTTCAAATGAATACAAAATAGGTCTGCTAACAACGGGGTATAATTGGTACCAATATTAATGGAATTCTAATAGAATATTGGAAGACGTTCAGTTGTGTGTATTATGTTCAATAGCGTAGCTGCTAACATAAAACATAAACCAAGATTTTGAATGGGCATCTAGACTATCTCTACGTAGGGTGAGTTTGCATAAACATTTGATGCTAAGTACCAAATCCAAGATGGCTACCTAAATAACGACATCGGTATTTTAACAAAATAGTATAGGGAACTATTTTCTATATTTAAGGGATTGAAATACCGGTAGTTAACAAATATATTTCCAGTGGAAATAAACAAGTTCTGCTCAAAAATAAATTTAAATAGATATGTTTTTTTTAATCTGACACTCGGCTTAGATAGCTATCCGTTCAATAGAGACAAATATCTACCACAAAGCTGCTAAGTTATCCTCTACGATCTTGAATGGAGCCTTGAGGCCGGTTTTACAAAAGAACTTACAACTAAGACCAAAAACTTAAGTTGATTGTTGAATTTTGCCAAATGTATTATTCTCTTTCAAATTGCCAGCTTTAAAACATATTTCTAGATTCCCTTTTAAATAGATTAAAACATTTTCAATTCAATGTAAATTAGAAAGTAACAAGCAGAACTTAGTGTTGGTCTTAATCGTACGTCTCCGAAAAACAACATGGATATTGTCTTTAAAAAAAAGATCAATAACTAAGTATTATAATGCAGGTATTTTTATTTCACTTTCAACAGAAATAATAGAATGATTCCTTTGTGTGTCCTTCATTCAACTAGTTCCCTATGACTACAAAAAATTAAGGAAAAATATACTCATTAGTTGAGAAACATAAAAGTATGTTGAATTAATAAGAATAAGTAAGAATAAATTAAAACCACAAAACTTCAATCAATAAGTATTACTCAAAATATAATATAATGTTAAGGAATAATGTCCAATTTGCTACTTACGATTTCAGTTGTCAAATATCCAGTGCTTCTCTTAGACGCTTTTTGGCCATCAATGTCTCTTAGTATTTTATGATATTCAGATTCCTTAAAAAAGCAAAATGCACAATATTAATTTAGAAGAAATAAATAAAAGAAAGAGAGAGACAAAGTGAGACAGAGAGAGAGAGAGAGAGACAAAGCATGAGAAAGAAAAAAGTGAGAGAGAGGGAAGGAGTCACGCAGAGAGAGAGAAAGTGAGAGAGAGAGAGAGAGAGAGAGAGACCCTTTCTTACCCTTACGCTCTTTGTTTGTCTTTCTTCTGCTTCATTACTGCTCCTCTCCACTTTTTCAAAGACGTCATCCTCTGTTTCAATGCTTCTTCTGAAACATTTATGACGAGAAAATTATAATAGAAACAAAGTGCTTAGTAATAATATGGTTTTCCAACAAAGACGATTACAGAAAAGTAAGAATGATTCCTTTGTATGTCCTTCATTCGTAGGGTACAATAGAATTTTTCATTTATAGCATCAAAGATCATACCTAAAGGTAATATTGCATATACCAAATTAATATAAATACAGAATGCACATATATAAGTAATTTTAGAAATATGATACATTGCATTCCCTGTTATATGCATGAAAATGCTTATAAAATGTCTTATCTCAACCTTATTTACATTACAATTGTTAGTTTAAAAAAAAAGAAAAGTTTCTACATTTTTCCTAGAGTTCTAAATAATATTAATGGAAGCAAATGCTTTAAATTTTAACTTTTAGCATATGGCTAACATAAAGCACTTTTTTGGTCTGAATTGCTATAGGCAATACTTTACTTACATTTGTAAAAGTATGGAATACTTACTTTGTCCTTCGAATTATTCTGTAATAATACAAAGGTTCCCCATTAAGTGAGACCTTCAAGTCGTAAGCCAAATTCTGCAAAAAAAAGTTTCTTTTTAAGTTCAAAATCGTCAATGACAATGATAGATCGAGTGCCGTCGTATTCTCTAAGTTCTCTTCGAGATTTCTTTTATCCTAATGCAACTGTGTTCAACAATGAATTTTGATTGTTTAATACATTGATGTCGGAGTCTGTAAAAAGGGCTTTGATGAAAGTGAAATATTTACATTGCTGCTTCATAGTAGAGGGATGGAAAAATACGATGCCTCATGACGCGTATACAATTTATAAAACTCCATTTAAAAAGGCGTTTCCATTAAACAAAATGCATAAATTTGAAAGAAATGGGAATAACCATGTTCTTTTAGCTTTGTATCTGTGATCGTTAATGCTGATTAAATGGTTGCACATTTCTGTTTAACCGCCTTTGCTAATGCGACGTCAAGCAACACTACCGAAAGTGTCAATATGGAAATATTAATCTTTTGCATTCATGTTTGCAAGATATATGAGAACTAAAAATATTTTCTTACCCCACTTGAATAACAGATACCGTAGTAGACTCTGTAGTAATATTTGCAATGGGTGGAGTTACAAACTCGAAAGTTCCACGTGGTGTGTCTGTGATAACCACAATGAGCTGACGCTGCAGAAATCTCGTGGACAAGGTATACACCGAGCACAGCAACGGTGAGGACGAGGAGATTCATCTGCAAAAATAAATGTAAGCAATGTTACAATGAAAATGTTAATTAAGAATCACCAGGGAGTAACGATTTTGCGACACATTTGACACAAAAAATAAATGTAAGCAATGTTACAATGCAAATTTTAATGAGGAACCAC